CTACAATAATCAAGACAATGTGGTGTTGGCGAAAGAAGAGACAAATAGATCAATGAAACAGAATCGAAAACCCAGAAATAGACACACATAAATGTAGTCAACTGATGTTTGACAATGGAGCAAAGGTAATATGATGGAGCAAATATTATCTCTTTCACACATGGTTCTGGAACAACTGGACATCTGCATGTGAAAAAAATGAACCTGGACACAGATGTTATACCCTTCACAAAAATTAACTCAAAACAGGCAAATGCAAAATGCAAAATTATAAAATGCTAAATTATAAAACTCCTAGAGGATAACATAGGAGAAAACCTAGATGACCTTGGGTATGTTGATAACTTTTTAAATATAACACCAAAGGCACAAACTGTGAAAGAAAGAATTTATAAGAAGGAATTCATAAAAATTAAAAACTTCTGCTCTGCAAAAGACAATGTCAAGAAAAGATAAGACAAGCTATAACTGGGAGAAAATATTTGCAGAATACACATCTGATAAAGTATTGTTATCCAAAATATGCAAAGAACTCTTAAATACCAACAATAAGAAAACAAACTGATTTAAAAGTGGGCCAAAGACCTTAACAGACAACCTCATCAAAGAAGACACACAATTGGAAAACAAGCCTATGAAAAGATTCTCCACCACATATGTCATCAGGGAAATGCAAATTAAAACGAGATACCACTACACATCTATCAAAATGGCCAAAATACAAAACACTGACATCACCAAATGCTAGCAAGGATGTGGGACACAGAGAATTTTTAGGGCAGTGAAAATAATCTGTATGATACCGTAATGATGGATACATGTCCTTATACTTTTGTCCAAACCCATAGAATGTACAACAGCAAGAGTGAACCCTAATGTAAACTGTGAACTCTGGGTCATTTTGATTTGTCAATATAGGTTCATCAACTGTAACAAATGTACAGCCCTGGTGGGGTATGTTGATAATGGGAGAGGCTAAAAATGTGTGGGGGCAGAGGATATATGGGAAATTCTGTAACTTCCCCTCAATTTTACTGTGAACCTAAAACTGCTCTAAAAAAATAAAGTCTTAATAATTAAAAAAAATATATAGATAAATAGAAACTATCCACATTGAACACAGAAACAGATCCCCTCCCAATAAAGATTACAGAGACATATCAATTTGTATGACAACATCAAGCAATGTAGTATACATGTAATTGGAGACCCATTAGGTGACAGAGAGAGTTTGGGGCAAAAACAATATTTAATGAAATAATTTCTGAAAACTCTCCAAATATGACGAAAAATATCTACCCACAAATCCAAGATCATCAATAAACCCAAGCAGGACAAAGAAAACTATATTAAGCGTATGAGAATTAAATTGCTGAAAACAATAGATAAAGAAAAATCTTACAAGCAGCCAAAGAAAAAAAGGACAAATTACTTAGAAGGGAAGAGCAATGTGAATGACAGCTGAATATTGAATACAAGGAGGCCAGAAGAAGATGAAAAATCTTTGAAATGCTTGAGGAAAAATCAAATCAACCAATATTTCTATATTCAATTAAAATTTCTTTTAAAATAAGTGAAAAATAAAGACATATTCAGATAAACAAACTGGGAGAATTTGCCACCAGAAGTAAAGTGCTATATGAAATTTCTTTATGAAGCAAAAACAATACACACTGAATTTTGAGATTTATAATTTTGTACACATATAAAGTATAAAAATAGCATAAAGACAAGAGGGAGAAAATTTTTTATTGCTTATATACTTCATATATATGAATATATACTTATTTATGGTTCCTAATATTTAAATGAACTGGTATAATGTTAATTCATGGTAGATTACAATGAGTTAAGAAAAAAGATTATAGTAATACCTAGAGCATCCAGTTAAAATATAATCCCGGAGGTATAGCTAAAAAGCCAATAGAGATGAAGAAATAAAATGTTAAGATATAGATTGATCTTTGACGAAAAAGAAAAAACAGGAAAAGAAGAAAAACGAGAAAGGATGGTAAAAGAGAAAATATTGAATATTTATTAGACTTAAGCCTAACAAAGTCATTAATTCCATTAAACGTAAATTATATAAAGACAAATAAAAAGACAGACTTTTTTTTTGAATTTTTTGTTTATTGCAGTAACGTTGGTATAT